CTTCAGGTTCCCGAAGTTCAAAGGAGTGTATCACCCTCATGTGAACTTCCTTTATCTTCTGCAGAAAGCCATTCCAGCTATCCCTCCTGCTCTTTTTCCACGCCATGCCACACTCATGTACGTCTCCATGGATACTATTGATTTGTGATCAGGAGGTTATCTCCCCCTCCCAGCTGGTGGTTCCCTGTGGGCAGAGTCCTTGGGCTCCATCTCCATCCCTCTAAGGCAGAGAACATACCTGACAGTTACACTGTGTGCGGAGGAGCAACTGGATTCTTGACCTGGGCTGGAAAACACTGCCCCAGGGGTTTTGAATGTGTGTCATGAACTTCCTAAAATTGTATGGGAAATTGTGTGTATATGTTCATAAATCTATTTCTCTTGTGACCAAGTCCACAGTTTACAATATTTAATTCTGAAATGTTTTCATGACCCCACAAATGTTTAAAAAAAAAATCCAACGCACTCATTTAGAGATTTTCCACATACTTGTAATTAAAGCTTGTGTTTTTATTAGCCGGGAGGTATTTGTATGCTCCCTCGATTTCCAGGTGTGGCCACAGCTTGGAATAGCCCGTGAGCTTCATCTGGGGCTGTGGTGGCTCTGCATCGACCCCGTGGCAGGCACGTCTGGGAGGGTCCACTTAGGCTTTCTGAGCTTCACTTTACTTTTATCTGTTAACTTAGGTTTTTAGCGTCCTCATGTCCTACAGGGACGTTGCGCAGTGAAAGGGAACGGGTGTGCAGGCATTTTATAAACTGCCAGCGGCTGAGCAGTTGCGGGTGCCAGGATTGCTGTTACAGACACGTCGCTTCTCCTGTCACACGGTGCCAGGAACTCAGTAGGCAGTTGAGAAGTGTGTGATTAAAGTGACCATGGAGAGGGTTTATCGGAGTGAGAGGTAGAGACTCAAAGACACCAGCGTCTGCGTGTCCGTCAGATCCTGCGGAGGGCTGTCCTAGAACACAGCAAGGCCTGCTGAGGAAATGGTTTTCAGTGATGGTAAAAGTAGAAAGACCTTCAAGATTCCAAGTGCAGTTGCTTTATTTCCTAGAGGAAATGGAAACTTAGAGAAACCGAGGCTGTTCCACTTCTTTTCAGAAAGGCTTAAGATTCCTCCTCATCACTTTCAAGGGAGACCCAAAAAAAAAAAAAAAAA